CAGACTGACATCCGGGATATCTTCAGAATAGTGTCGGATGAGACTCGCTCTTGGATCGTTACTCACACTTGCGTGTGGCTCCAACGATGATGTGTACAGCTGCCCATAGAACCTCTCAATCTCACTCAAAATCTCAGGTATCCCGGAAACGATGCTGCCACATTCTGTCTTCAGCTTTGACAGTTGGCTCTTTCTGGCAGACAGATCTCTGGCAAAGACTTTGGAGCCTTGGTTCCGCTCGATCGCTTCTTCAATACGAGCTGTATTGAAGTTGCGTAAGTCCCGCTGCATGCATTTGGAGATCCGTCTGTTCAGATGCCTGTATGCTGTCAAGTCTGTTGAAGAATGTAGCTTCATCTCCCGTCTAACAGCCATGAGATTAAGAGTGTGATCGGAGAGTTTTTGTGTTCTTCTGCGGCGGGTCTTGCAGAACTTAGCTCCGACCGCATGGACAGTTTCCACGAGCTTGTCATTCATATCGTCCACTTCATTGCAGTCTTCTAGGCACTGAAAACGGTTTTGTAACTCGAGCTGAAAGGTTTCGGGACTTTGGAACATAGCACGAGGGGGACGGAGCGTTGACTTCATTAGACGAGACCTCTCCAACTTAACGTTTAGGTTCAGTGTGCCTCTAACCATTCGGTGATCGCTACCAGTTTTCACCCTCGCGATCACGGAGACATCACTGAACAGTTGTCGTCTGGTCGTCATAATGAAGTCAATCTCATTTTTTGTGGAACCGTCGGGGCTCGACCAGGTCCACTTCCTGTGGGGCCGCTTCTGGAAGAAAGAGTTCATCATAAAGAGTCCCTCTTTCTCCATGAAGTCGGCCAGCTGCTGGCCCCTTGGGTTCCGTTGCCCTATTCCAAATTTCCCTACTTTCAGCTCACCGTTCTCTCTTGTGCCTAGTTTTGCATTGAAGTCTCCCATTAACACCGTATATTGGGTTTTGGAGGAATGCATGGCTCTAGAGATATCCTCATACATTTCCTCCACCTCCTCATCGGGGTGTGCCGAGGTTGGTGCGTAAACCTGTATTACCTTCAGCGAATACCGTTTGGTGATTCTGAGTATAAGGTACGCAACCCTCGTCGACACACTCCCGATCTGTACAACGTTGTTAACGAGAGACTTGTGGACGATAAATCCGACACCTCCTTGGGACAGATGGTCGCCCTCCCGGTGATAGAGCAAGTTGCCGGATTCGAGGATTACCGTGTCCTCCCCCTCTCTTCGGACTTCGGATAATCCTATAATATGCCAGCGCAACTTGTCTATCTCTTCTTCCAGCTCCACGATCTTCTCGTCAGTCCTCAGGGTGCGTGCGTTGTACGTTGCCAGGTCAAGTCGATCGAAAGTCGATTATCTTATGGCATTCACAAATCTTTAATTAACGCAATACCTATTTAGTTTAGTGTACGGATTGCAATACAGTTCAGTTGAACACAGTCAATGTTCGGAATGCGAAATCTAGTGCGTAGTACATATTAATATTATATTCTATCTCATTCTTCTTTTCACTAGCCAGTACAAGTCTACTGCTAGGCCTCTACCACTTTAAAGTAATTTGATCGCAGTACCAACGTGTTCAACTTGGATGCTGCTGCCCGTATGGTTTGATATTTCTAGCATTTCTTTTAGTTGCCCACGGGACAAACTGGAGTGATGGATTATCTTTCCACATGGCAACTATTCCGTTTCTGTTTTGTTTGTCCTTGAATATTTGTTTGCGTTTGTTATATTAATCTTTCCTATGTATACAATAAGAAGTATGGTAGTATGGTAGAAGTATTATAAATCATTTAAACAACAATTATATCGTTTAACATTGTAGTGTTTGCATACATATATAAGTCACTGTCTCGAGCGCACCGCGTCAGTTACACGAGAGCCTCGGGCGAGAGTGGACGTGTTTAGTTAAGTGCGTGCCGAGCCTGTGTTACACTACAGTGATTAGAGAAAATAGCAGACAATACAAGTGGCGACGAGGAAAAAGATAAACACCTGTTTAGTATAAAGATATCAACAAAAATAGGTTAGCAATGTGCAACTATTAGCGTTGCAATTGCAAATTATAAACTAAATCCTAGAGTACACGCGGAAAAAAAACTTTGGATTATGAATTATGATTTATTGTTTTTAACCCTGCTATGATCATTTTAATAATTTATATAAATTATATATTCGCATATGAGACCACGCTTATGGTGTGCAAAATTTATTTTCTTTATGTAGCAATGATAAAATAATGATTTATTTTAACATATGTCTATTAGCACAACTTTTATTTAAAAAGATTTTTGATGGAAAAATAGTAGATATAACTAATCACTCCTCTCGATTCGAACCGAAATACAATGTCGTTAGCTAAATTTTAGTGGCATTTTACATGTAGGTGTGATATTTATCGCCTTTAATGAAAATACTATTTTACCGCTTTCATGGCATATATAAGTCTTACTAAAAATCGTGGACACTTCACGACTTCTGTAAATTGCATAGTAGATAACTAGTAATACTGTAAATGCGCATTATAGGTATTGAATTCACCCAAAGCGTAAATCGCACAGCAATAGAAGTAGTCGGTATAACAAATAAACCGAAAGAGAAGGGCGAGTGTTATGGAACATATTACTATCATGAAATTGAGTTTGGGTACCAAGATACCAACCATTAAATTGGAGTTTGGGTACTAAGATACCACCATTAAATTGGAGTTTGGGTACTAAGATACCACCATTAAATTGGAGTTTGGGTACTAAGATACCACCATTAAATTGGAGTTTGGTTACTAAGATACCACCATTAAATTGGACTTTGGGTGCTCAGTACTACCATTAAATTGGACTTTGGGTACTAAATTAGTACCATTAAATTGGACTTTGGGTATTAAAATACCAGCATTAAATTGGAAATAAATATATAAGAAACTGTTTCAGTTTGCCCCTAAAATAATAATAATAATGATACCGTTATCTACTTTAATGTGATAGCACATCTATGGCTATAAGGTGGGAAAAATGGAAAAGGTCTCTACTAATCTATCTGGACGCAGCTGAAGCTATATCAGCACTCAAGAAACAAGCTACGCTATTGCATTTTGGTGGCTCTGGGATACAAGAAATATTCTACAATTTACCGGGTGCCAATGTCGAATCATCAGAAACCGTTGATGTATTTAAAGTAGCCATAAAAAAAAGTCGACGAGTATTTTCAACCTTAACGGAACAAATTTTATGAGCGGCATGTTTTTCGATTGCTAAAACAGGAAAAAGGAGAAAAATTTGAGAAGTTTTTGATAAGATTGCGTCAACAGGCCGAAAAGTGTGCATTCGAAAAGCAAGATGATCATCTCATAGATCAAATTGCGGAAAAGTGTAATTCGAAAATGCGTAAGAATCTTATATCTTACAAAACGTGGGAAGAGTTAAAAAAGCAAAAAATTATATGCTTTTAATGAAATGTAAAGACCAGAAAAGACATTATTAGCATATGGTAGTAACTCTCCTTTGGCAATAGAGGGCTCATTTGAAACTATACTCGAAGTCGATGGACGAAAGGAACATACAACCATTTACGTGATTTCAGGGGGTACTAGAGACCTGTTGGGTAAGAACACAGCAGTCTGTCTGGGTTTCTTAAAACTTGGTATCGGGATAAATCAAGTGGAGAGTACCGATCCCCATTAAAGAGAAGGTTGCAATCAACATTAAGGCATCACTAAACAGTGATACGAGTATAATTGAAGAAGTGCAAGGCCCGTCTAAATGGGTTTCACCAATGTTCCAATCATGAAAAAAAATGGTGAATTACGTTTGTGCGTAGATATGAGATGTATAATCGCCGCTATATTGTGAGAAAACCACCCCCTGCCTACTATGGACCATTTTTGCTTAAAATGAAGAAAGCTAAATATTTTAACAAATGAGACATAAAAAATGCCATCCATCAAGTGGAAATTCACTCTGAATCCAGACACATAACGACTTTTATAACCCCCAAAAGATTATATAGATATAAAAGAATAATGCTTGGAATTACCTGCGCTTCCGAGATTTTTCAGAAGATCATTGAAAGGATGCTGATAAACTGTGAAGGGGTCGTCAATTTTATTGATGATATCCTGGTATTCGGGAACAGTGAAGAAGAACATGATGCATGATTAAAGAAAGTTCTACAGGTACTTAGTAAAAACAACGTTGTGCTGAATAGCAATAAATGCATATATAAAACGCAGGATGTGAATTTTCTGGGACACAGGCTTACAATAAAGGAGTAAATCCTTCAACAAGTACGTTGCGAGCATTATGAAATTTAGGGTCTCAAAGACCATAGAAGAACTCCAAAATTTTTTAGGACTCATAAACTACATAAATAAATGGATACCTAACTTGGCCGCCATGACAGAACTTCTGAAGCACCTGCTAAGACAGAAGATGAGCAAAATGAAGAGCTAGGAAAAACAATGGTCTGGGGAATAAGATAAAGCATTCCAAAAACTCAAACGGATGCTCACGGAAATACAGATTTTAGGGTATTATGACGTCAGAGATGCAAGACAGGTGATAGCAGATGCTAGCCCTGTCAGACTTGGTGCTGTCCTTGAACAAAATGATACATATGTCCCTAGAATTATTGCCTATGGTAATCAAACTTTGACAGACTGCGAGCGCAGGTATAGCCAAACGGAAAAGTGGCACTAGCATTAGTTTGGGGGGTCGAACATTTAATTTTTTTTTTATTTGGAAAGCCTTTTGATTTAGTCACTGACCACAAGCCGCTAGAGATATTGTTCGGGTCTAAGTCAAAAACCATGTGCGAGGATTGAACGATGGGTACTGAGGCTACAGTCTTATTCATTCAAGGTTATATACAAGCCAGGAAAAACAAATATAGCTGATCCCTTGTCACGATTATGTAACTATTCTGATAACCCACCATAAGGAAAAGACCAGCATGTGTACCAAATAGTGGAAAATTCTAGACCAGTTGCTATACCAATGAGTACCATTGTAGTGTATTCAGAAAAAGACCAAGAGATTTACAAAGTGAAAAAAGGTGTCTATCAGAACGACTGGGACGATTCGATTAAGAGTTACAATTTTTTGAAAACGAGTTGTTTCCATGATAGCATTCTACTTCGTGGAAATAAAATTGTAATACCACAGCAACTCTGCAAGAGTGTATTAGATGCTGCATACGAGGTTCATCCAGGTATCGTAGCGATGAAGGAACACTTGAGATCAAAGGTATGGTGGCCCCGTATTGATAAAGACGTAGAAAAATTAGTTAAGGCCTGTAAAGGTTGTACGTTAGTGGGTTTGCCAAACCCACCTGCACCAATGAAGAGACGAGAGTTGCCTGCAGCTCCATGGATAGATGTCACAATGGATCTAATGGGACCATTGCCAAGTAACGAGTATCTGTTAGTAGTGGTCGACTACTATAGTCGATACAAAGAAGTAAAAAATTACAAAAACATCACATGCTTACAGATTATTAAAATGGTAAAAGAAATGTTCAGTTGACATGGTTATCCTATTTCTATTACCGCAGACAATGGCAAGCAGTTCGTTAGTGAAGAGTTTCGATCTTTCTTCAAAGAATGTAACATTAAGTTATTTAGTACTGTACTATATTGGCCTCAAATGATCGGCGAAGTTGAAAGACAAAACAGAGATATTTTGAAACGTCTTCGTATCAGCCAGATCGAGAGGAACGATTTAAAAGAATGTTTGTGGGAGTATCTTTTAATGTATAACAGCACCCCTCCTTACAGTTACCGGGAGTTTACCGTATGAACTGTTTTTTCAACTAAAAAGTAGGGATAAAATTCCATCAATAGGTGAAACAAATTACAGACAATCATTTAGATTCAGATATCAGGAATAGAGACAAAATACAAAAAGAAAAAGGAAAAGAGTATGTAGATAGGAAACGCAGAGCAACTCACTCAGATATAATACAGGGAGATAAGGTTTACGTAAAAGCAGTGGAAAAATCGAATAATCTTACAACAAATTTTAAACCGACGCCACACGTCGTAGAGAGTGCACGAGACGGTGACTGCATAGTACGCAATAGTGAAATGAACCAAAGGTTTAGGAGAAATGTGATACATTTGAAGAAAGTAGGAGACAATTGGACGGCTATTCCACCCGATGAGAATGAAAAAGAACAAAATCTAGAACAGGATAAAGAAGACAAAAATATTTAATAATTAATACAGACAATACAAGCTGCTTTGTGATTGTTATGAGTTATAATAAAAAAAAGAAAAAAATCTTGATAAGAAAGAGATGTAGTGTTTGCATATATATATATATATATATATATATATATATATATATATAAGTCACTGTCTCGAGCGCACCGCGTCAGTTACACGAGAGCCTCGGGCGAGAGTGGACGTGTTTAGTTAAGTGCGTGCTGAGCCTGTATTACACTACAGTGATTAGAGAAGACAGCAGACAATACAAACATACATTACAAAAACATAAAATCAAATTGATAGTTTTCTCCTTTTTTGAAATCGGTCAAAAGGCACTCCAGTTTGTTACTTGACGTTGAAATAGATTTTAAAACCAAATTTTACAACTGCTTAAAAATAGACGCCCATTAAACTTTAGCTTAGTTGTTTTTCTAGCTATTGTCCGTGGATTTGTTTGCACTGCATACAAAAAACACTCGAATTTTCCCATTTCACAACTCACGTTGTTAACAGAACGCAATTTCGTTCCGGTATTTAAACTTTGTTGTTTTTTTAATACAATGTAAATGCAAAAAGGAAATTAAACTTTTAATAAAAGTAACAACCGCCTTTGAAAGCGGTTCATATTTCATTGAAAGGTAAAAACACTTAAAAATCCTTCTGAGTGGTCACAATTTCAATCTAATAACTAAACTATGTTGTGTAAATATTTAAATATTGAATTTTTTTACGTGGTAGAGCCATGCTGTATCTATATTGTGGTTGCAGCACGAATGGGTCTGCTCGACCAGGGTAGGACCACGCTCTCACAGAGTACCAGCGAAAAATAGCAGTTCAATGCCGCTGTGTTTCGCATGGTGAGTGTAGAGAACCTGATACCCTTTTTACTGTAAACGAGGCATTCCATCAGTCTGCAATGCAATAAAGTTATTGAGTATTAAAAATCAAGATTCCAACGTTTTGTCGCATGAAATCGTATCATACAGCAATCATATTATACATATAAATAATATAAAAAGCACATTTTTAGAAAGATAAATGAATGATGATTTTTTTTTTAATCGATTAATTGCTATTTTTAAATAAAAAAAGGGGTTTTAGTGGCTTATGGTGGGGATTTATTATGTCCCCAAGGCTTGTAAACACGTTAACTTTCGAAAATATCAATTGTTTAACTTAATCTATTTTTTAATCTCTTCATCTTTCATGTGGGAAGCCACTGAATGTAAATGGCAGTGTAATTTTGTTTATTTAGCTGTAATTAATTTTTTTCGGCTCCAAAATGGCTAAATTTTCGTTGATTTGGTATCCTTGTATGTAAATTATTTATGTAAAGGGGAGCTATAGCAGACAGAGTAGTTTACTCACTAACTCAGTTTGGCCTCAGTTTCCAGTTTATAAAATGTACTCTCTGGCCTCAGTCGCCGTCGTGAGTGGACATTGTTTCGGTTGTTTGCAGCGGCTCAAAAATATCGCTGTACAAATACACAATATTCGAATAACCAAATTTCTTAAATACTTGATTATAATAATAATAAGAGATTTATTTTATTAAAATATTTTAAAAGCACAGAATAAATAATAGTAGTAAGTACTAAAAATAAGGTAGTATCATTTTTTAATCATGGGTGTCATTTTCATGGTTTTCGAGGGTGTTGAAGCCGATAGTGCTGTCGAAATGTAAATCCAAGATGGCGGCTGCAATTGGTATCCATTTTTTCATCATGGGTGACATTTTCATGGGTATCGAGGGTGTTGAAGCTGATAGTGCTGTCGAAATGTAAATCCAAGATGGCGGCTGCAATAGGTATCAATGTTTCCATCATGGGTGTCATTTTCATGGGTTTCGAGGGTGTTGAAGCCGATAGTGCTGTCGAAATGTAAATCCAGGATGGCGGCTGAATAAGGTACCTTTATTTTCATCATGGGAGTCATTTTCATGGGTTTCAAGGGTGTTGAAGCCGATAGTGCTGTCGAAATGTAAATCCAGGATGGCGGCTGAATAAGGTACCTTTATTTTCATCATGGGAGTCATTTTCATGGGTTTCAAGGGTGTTGAAGCCGATAGTGCTGTCGAAATGTAAATCCAAGATGGCGGCTGCAATAGGTATCAAATAATTCACCATGGGTGTCATTCTCATGATTTTCGTGGGTGTTGAAGCCCATAGTGCTGTCGAAAGGTAAATCCAAGGTGGCGGCTGCAATCGGTATCAATTTTTTTATCAATTTTTCCATCATGGGTGTCATTCTCATGGTTTTCTTGAGTGTTGAAGCCGATAGTGCCGTCGAAAGGTAAATCTAAGGTGGCGGCTGAATAAGGTACCTTTATTTTCATCATGGGAGTCATTTTCATGGGTTTCAAGGGTGTTGAAGCCGATAGTGCTGTCGAAATGTAAATCCAAGATGGCGGCTGCAATAGATATAAATTTTTTAATCTTGGGTGTCATTTTCATGGTTTTCGAGGGTGTTGAAGCCGATAGTGCTGTCGAAATGTAAATCCAAGATGGCGGCTGCAATAGGTATCAAATAATTCACCATGGGTGTCATTCTCATGATTTTCGTGGGTGTTGAAGCCGATAGTGCTGTCGAAAGGTAAATCCAAGGTGGAGGCTGCAATCGGTATCAATTTTTTCATCATGGGTGTCATTTTCATGAGTTTCGAGGGTGTTGAAGCCGATAGTGCTGTCGAAATGTTTAAATAAACTACTTTAAAAAAATTCCGTGTAATCATGCTATACGTAATTTTTTTAATGCGAAGGCATGCTCAATTGGATTTACCAATATTTTTTAATTCTTAGGGGTGTCATTTTTCCTTCAAATTTATTTGGAACCAACACTGAACTACTCAATAAAAAATTATAATTTAAACTATTTAACTGTTTCCCAGAAATTGGTGGAAATATTTAAAAAACTATACGTTTCGAATACAAAATCTCTTCTTTTTATAAACTCTTCTAAAAATATTATTTTTGTTAATTAGTTTGTCCTATTTATTGAATTCGAGTGACGAACGTGCACACATTCCTGTACACGCACCTCATGGTAAGTGGGTGCTATGGCACATAGTTATCTACATCTATCCCCGATTAAGAATTAAAATGAAAATTCAAAAACGTCGTCACCCCTGAAGTTAAAGTTGGAATACTACCTCATTTCGAGTAAAAACGCTGCTTTACGCTTGTATTCTGCGAGAGCCCACACTCACCCCGGTCGAAACGACCCATTTGTGTTCCAACCATAATACGCACAACAGCAGAGTGGCTCAACCATATTTAAATAGCAACTTAATACTCCTGTGTCTCGTATTGTGAGTGAAGAGAACCGGAGACTCTTTTTACCGGAAACGAGGCATTACCTCTTAATTCTCAGGTTTGACAACGCATCTGTATTTTGATCCTTAATCCAGGATAATGTGTCTGTGAACCACAGCATCTACATACCATCAGATGGACTGTGTGCCCTTTTGTCACCCTTATTGTGTAAGAAAAAACATGCGCTGTTATTCTGTGAGGGTGTGGCCATTCATCAGTTGAGCCGCTATATTCGCTACAACTATAAATACTAAAAAGAATAAAATAATTTCCACATAACTACTCCAGAAGTCGGTGCAAAATATAATGTTATTAACAGTGGTAGAACCATGCGGCAGCTTTTCTGTCGCACGGATGGGCCGGCTCGAACCGGGGTGGTACCACGACCTCACAGAATACCAGCGTGAAGTAGAGGTTTACCTCTGCGTTTCGCTTGGTGAGTGCAGGTGGCCGGAGGCCCTTTCTACTGGAAATGAGGCGTTCCATCTTAGTCCTCACGGGTGACAACGCATCTGCATTTTTATTTGTAATAGAGGATAGATGTAGATGTCTATGGGCCGCAACAACCACTTACCATCAGACGGACTGTGTGCTCGTTTGTCACCCTTATCCTAGTAAAAAGAAAATAGTGTATAGAGGAATCAAAGCTTAACGTTAGGCCTAGTACGTACTTAATCTAAATTAAAATAAATGAGTTCATATTGTAGGAAAGTGTGCGTGCGCAGTAAAATCAGTTAAAATCATGCATTACTACGCATTTTGAATTTAAAGATAAAAAGGATATAATGTTTGGGCATATTTTAATTAAGTTTTCTTCACCATTTGCCTATATTACTTATTTTTAATCTTATCTGACTAATTTGGCCGGTTATAAAAAACCCTATAAATATACATATATACCTAAACAAAATTAGTAGATCGGGTATTTTTTTTTATAGAAGAGAGGGCAAACGAGCATGCGGCTCACCTGATGGTAAGTGACTACCGCCACCCATAAACAACCGCAACACAAGGGGAATTGCAGATGCGTTGCCGGCCTTTTAGAAAGATGTAAGCTCTTTTCTTGAAGGTTCCTAAGTCGTATCGGTCCGGAAAATTCGCTGGTGGTAATTGATTCCACAAGGAAGTTGTGCGAGGGAGAAAACTTCTTTTAAATCGCACAGTGGTGGACCGCCAATCATCCAGATGGTATGGATGGTAACGCGAGTTTTGTCGCGATGTGCGATGGTAAAATTGAGCGGCTGGAATTAGTCCGAACAATTCTTTAGAGCACTCCCCGTGATAGATGCGATAAAATATGCAGAGATTGTTAACAGTTAGAATAGAAATTGCACTGATTGAACTCCGTTTTTGTAGTAATCGCGACACTTCTACTTGAAATAAAAATAAAAAGAATTTAATTTGGAATTGCTACTTAATTTACCAACAGTGAGAGAAAATTAGTCTGGCCCACCAGGAAGGGTGAATGAAATAGGTAAACTCACGGTTAGCGGCAGCGGCGATCAACTTCAACTTGGCTTCAACAATATCTTCGGATGAGGAAGGTTTCAGTCTTCCTTGACCACACTCCTACGTGATTATATAGTCTATGCACACAGCTGGGTCGACCCGGCACACTCACTAACTCTTATTTACATTGATTTTATTTTGGAAGGTTTAGACAAGAACAGCCATTACCGATGCAGTTCGTCTTGAGTCTTGATTACATGTGTGTATCGATCGCGTCGACTTCTCTTGCAGACGCTTTTGTTGTAGGCTAACAGATGCCGCCATAAGTTTTGTTTTGCATATAATTGGAAGGAAGGATGCGATAGAAAAGTAAGGAAGGCAAGCCAGTACATAATTCCCCCCACTTGAAATCGTTTCAGATTTCATGAGTAATAATAGCAGTTCTCCCTATAAAACTAAATATTTCACGAACTAGAAACTAACTTAGAATAATATCTACCTAACTATAATATTAATACTTGAATTTGAGTTGCATACCTATTAGAAAGGTATGTAAGGCAACAAAATTTAATATCCAACTATACCTGTAAGCTAAATAACAAAAAACTATAATATTAATTAAAAAAAATTGACATTTTTTTTTCCATAAGTATAGCTATATATTATTGATTTAAAGGTAGAGGACACAGTTTATTTACTGGTCTCTTAAGGAGTCTATTAGTAGTGCGTAGGGTGACCACGCGCACTACACCGTCTTTGCCGGGATGCACGTCTTGAACTCTACCTGAACGCCACTCTAGTGGTGGTAAATTGCTATCGACAATTAGTACAATATCTCCGACATGAATATTTGGTTGTTCTCGAAACCATTTCGCGCGTTGCTGCAAGGTATGGAGATAATCGCGTTGCCAAATATGCCAAAAAGACTGTGTAAGTTTTTGCAACATCTGCCAGCGGGCCCAAGGTGGAACATATTCATTAGAAAGTTCAGGTTCTGGTAACGATATAAGAGAACCATGGACCAAAAAATGACCAGGTGTAAGAATATCGACCTCATTAGGATCCGGAGATAGACAGCACAACGGTCGCGAGTTAAGTATGGCTTCGACTTTAGTAAGAATTGTTATGAGCTCCTCGAATGTCAATACTTGTAACCCTATAACGCGTTTTAAGTGAAACTTCATTGATTTTACACCGCTCTCAAATATGCCACCAAAATTACTCCCGGTAGGAGGGTTCAGTCGCCAGATAATGTTTCGTTTCGCAAGACTAGACTCAAGTGAATCCTTATTCTTAGAAATCATTTGCTGTAGTTCGTTAAGGTAACGGCGGGCACCAATAAAGTTAGTACCGCAGTCGGTGACTATGAAGGTACAAAGGCCACGACGTGATACGAAGCGATCTAACGCTGCAAGAAAAGCAGAAGTCGATAGCTCGGTTACTGCCTCAAGATGGATAGCCTTTACCGCGAGGCAAACGAATACACACACGTAGGCCTTGTAAGTACGAGCGTTTCGTCTACGACTTTCCTTCACCATGAATGGACCGGCAAAGTCGATTCCCACATTTTGGAAACACCGCGTCGGTTGTACTCTTGTTGAAGGAAGATTTCCCATTAAAGGCTGACAAACAACCGGTTTTACCTTAAAACATGCTATGCATTTAGATAAACGCGACCGAATTAAGTTACGGATGCCAAGTATCCAATATCTACGCCTAATAATCGATTGAAGAGTACGAGGACCACAGTGTAAGTAATTGACATGAAAGTGATTTATGATCAACAATGATAGGCGTGAAGCCTTTGGCAACAATACGGGATGTTTTACAGTTGCCGGTAGATTAGCGTGCTTTAGACGGCCCCCCACTCGCAGCAATCCCGCCGCATAAATGGACTCAGTTTTTTAACGGATTTTGCGGCTTTGACTTCATCTGTAAGATGAAGTTTTTGTTCATGTCGAACCATATAGACGATAGACTGCTCCAGCTCTGATACGCTCAGGAAATTCTTAGTTTTAGAGTTTCGTTTGAATGCTGCTACAGCACGCAGACACCAAGCTAGCACACGCTGGACGCGGGATAGCGTGGAGTAACGGTCTAACAGTCCATCAATAAAGTCCAACTCAGCAGAGCTAGTATCCGTTTGAGATACATGAGCAGTAGAGCGCAACTCGGGTACGGAATCTTGTGCTTCCCACTTGCACTTTACTGGCCAAGTGGAGGAATCGTTAGCGAGCCAATTTGGACCTGACCACCACGTACAACATGTCGCTAGCTGTGAACCGCTAAGACCTCGACTGCAATGATCGGCAGGATTATCATATGTTGATACGTGTTGCCAGCTATCAACTGATACATCGTCGATGATTTTCGCAACGCGATGGGAAACAAAAGTCTTCAGTTTATGAGGTTCCGTGTGCAACCATGCTAGAACCGTGTTACTATCAGTAAAGGCAATCACTTTACTGAGGGGGATTTTATCTCGCAGCAAATTTTGCATGTGCTTAAGAACTCGCCCTAGAAGGACAGCACCGCAAAGCTCTAGATGGTTAACCGTTAGTGGTTTTAGGGGTGCAACTTTTGATTTTGCAATCAACAGATGCGTGTTAAAATGGTTGGCACGAACTGTCCTCAAGTATACACAACATCCATATGCCTTTGAAGAGCCATCACAAAACCCAATCAATTGGTAACTCTTGGCGTCATCATGTGTAACTCTACGAGTCAGTTTAATCTGTTTAACATGTTGCATTTCAGAGACAAAGTTGTGCCATTGGTGAGCGACCTCAGGTGGAACGGGTTTGTCCCAACTTAGCTGAAGGCGCCACATGTCTTGAAGCAATAGTTTGGCTATTAGAACAACAGGAGTGAGCCAACCAATTGGGTCATAGATGCGAGCGATATTTGATAATATTGCACGCTTTGTTAAATTGTAATTGAACCCGGACACTGAATATTTAAAGAAGTCTTCTACGGGGTCCCACTGTATACCAAGAATTTTAAGGATATGGTTGTGATTTTCGTCACAAAAGGCCCTAGGTACTTGACAATGTTCAGACGGTAGAGCTGCAATAAACTCGGCTGAATTACTGTAGTAATGGTGTACCATTTACGCAGCTCAAATTGCGCACAGCCCAGTAGTTTAATAAGTTCATCTTTGAGCTCAAAGCCTGTTTAAGAGATGGCGCTCCGGTTGTTATGTCGTCCATAAAAGTATCATGACGTATAACGTGAGCCGCTTGAGGATACTCAGAAGCATGATCGACCGCTAATTGATGCAGAGTACGAATGGCTAAGTATGGTGAACTAGTCACACCGTATGTCACGGTATTTAATTCGAACTCACGCATGGGATCAGCTGGAGAGTTTCTCCACAACACGTGTTGCCACCCTCGATCTTCCTGACGTAAATCTATATTGCGATACATTTTCGAAATATCGGATGTGAACACTATTGCGTGAAGACGAAATTTTGTCAGCACATCAACAATGTCATTTTGAAGCTTAGGCCCAGTATACACGATATCATTTAAAGATTTTCCGTTCGTCGTTCTGGCACTTGCATCAAAAACGACACGTAGTTTTGTCGTAGTACTCTCAGGGCGGAGTACACAATGATGCGGAATTACAAATTTGCCTGATCCAACGTCTGCGGGTTGCATATGGCCCAGATCGGAATATTCAGTCATAAAATTTTTACGTGGTAGAGCCATGCTGCAGCTATATTAGTAGTATAGTTGTAGCACGAATGGGTCGGCTCGACCGGGGAAGGACCACGCTCTCACAGAAAACCAGCGTAAAATAGCAGCTTAACGCTGCTGTGTTTCGTATGGTGAGTGTAGAGAACCGGAGACCCTTTTTACTGGCAAAGAGGCATTCCATCTTAGTCCTCACGGGTGACAACGCATCTGCATCTTGAGTCTTTATTGAGGATAGATGTAGATTTCTATGGGTCACAGTAACCACTTACCATCAGGTGGACTGTGTGCTCGTTTGTCACCCTATCCTATAAAAAAAAAAATCAGAATAGTCACTTTTTACCTATACATTGCGCTCAAGTCGCTTTTCGAGTTTGAATAAGCGTGATTTTGCCATCTCGAAAGATTTACCCAGATCATCACAAGGCTTCTTCAGTAACAAAGGAACGACGTAACGACCGTCAGGTTTACGTGACATAAGAGTAGAGTAGAGTTCTTCGCATTTAACGTCTTCGGGGTTCGATATAAATGTTTTCGGTGGTTCTTCGACCTCCCAAAAACGCTTGACTACGTCATTCAAAAGCCGGGTGGAAGTAACGAGGGAAGAAACCATAGGTGGAGGGTGACAGCTGTGATCAATTTTGCCAGTGAGCACCCACCCAAAGACACTATGTAGAGCGACTGGTAAACCAGGACCTATCTCTAGGCGTTGGCCATCATAAATTTTATGGAATAGCTCTGCGCCCAGCAGCATGTCTATATTAGTGGGTTTGTCGAACTGTTTGTCTGCTAAAACTAGATGTTTAAAATTTTCACGAACCTCAGAAGGTACTTCTACAACAGGCATTTTACTTGTTATTGTATTCATTATTATGGCATTAATAGTGAAGTTTGGACTATCAGAATCCGTTGGCATTACCACGCATGAAGTTTCACCCTTTATTTGATGCACTACATTTTGTCCTAAACCTGCCACAGCTAAATTGTAGCGGCGAATGGGCAACCCTAAACGTTGAGCGAGTGATAACGTCATAAAACTATCCTGAGCTCCACTGTCAATAAGTGCGCGGGCGGTAGTATACTGAGCGGCAGCACCGCAACCACGCACGCGCACTACACATGTGCCGAGCAAAACGAGAGCACGACTATGACCAACGTGAGCGCTGGTAGTCACGGAGCTCGCAGTCGAGGTCAAGTCGTCAACCGTAACTACTGTTTTGTCGCTAGTCTTGTCAGTGGAGCAACACGGAACAGCAGCAATGGTAGTGTTATCGTGGAGCAACGAATGATGACGCTCACCACAAGTTGAGCATGTAATTTTTGAAAAACATTTTTTTGTATTATGATTTAAACGTAAGCAATTCATGCAAACATTTTTATTAGACACTAAGCCGTATCTTTCAGAAATATCAAGTTCTTGAAACTTCGGACATTTGAAAAGCGCATGTGCCGCCCCGCAACATAGACAATCAGCTGTTTTATTTGAAGCATTTGAAGCTATGGCAGTGTTCGACGGCAACGATATAGATTTATGGTATTGTTTATTATTGTGACTATTTCGTGTCCCGGTGGCACGTACATTATTTTTATACAACTGTCCCGATTGAAATCCAGACCCGGAACAATTGCCCGATTGACTAACCTCTAGAACTTTAACATAACTTTGTAAAAAAATTAACAAATCAGAAAAGGTAGGAATTTGTTCCCCGTTTTGCATTTCAAAACGTTTACGTGTATCAGAATCTAAAACACGCGCAGCTAAATAAAATAAAATGAACTCATCTAATTCCTTAATTTTCATAGCTCTAAGAGCATTAACGGTTTCATTCAACACATTGGTTAAATTACGTAAATCGGCATAATTACTGGACTTCAAAGGAATGAAGCAACAAATTTTATCTAAGTACGTTGCGGCCAAAATTCGTTTGTTTTGGAACCGCTCGATAAGTGCGTCAAAAACAATTTTGTAGTTATCAGAGGTAACAGGCACTCCTTTTGCGATTGACAACGCTGAACCCGAGAGACACGTCAACAAATAATGAAACTTTTCGATTGACCTTATATTTTGTTTTCATGTACAAGTGTGGAAAACGTATCGAAGAAAGTTTGCCAATGTTCAATGTTTCCATCAAATTTCGGCAGCTCGAGTTTCGGTAAGCGTGCTTGCGCGTATGGTTTCGTACTATGGT